TTGCGTAGACCGCATGCTTATGATCAAATTCATTGCCTGCGTAGACCGCGTGCTCCATTTACATATCTGTACCTTCATAGCATTGTTATGCTCCCCACTTGCTTTGCGTTGTCACGCGTTTCGAGTACACTACTATGCATGTTGTTAACAATATTGTACCTGTTAAGTTTGTTTTCTTTGCAGGTACAATATTGTATGTACGGTTCATTTGAGGCTGGTGCAACCAGACGAGCCGCAAAGGTATTGTATCCTCCGAGTGAGACGTATTGAGAACTACATAATTCTCTTACGTCCCTTCTGCATTGTAGTGTAGTTCGGTTTATGCTAGCTTAAAATTGTCGCATGTGTGCTTCGTTACAGCTTTCTTTGCATGATCATAAGTTATGTTTGGTTATGTGCATTATCTTGCATTTTGCCCCCGCCTTCGGGCGCATATCTTGTTTATCTTGCATGTTTGTCTAAGTCTTCGGCCTTGTCACAAATGGGTCATCTCTGGGCATTGACATTCACTCCCGTCATTGTTATGACTTTCGAGTTCTGCCAAAGAGGGGCAACTGTAGACACCCCATTTTTGACCGTCCTCAAGACTTGGACGTCACCGTTTGAACACTCGGTGATCATCCATGTTTGTGTTCGTTTGGAGTTCCCGGAGGTCTCGGCTACGCGCCTTGCCTCAGGATCTCCGAACTCGACCGTTTAGTGTCTGATTTTGCACCAAACACTTGCATTTTGCCTTGGAGGGGTAGAGAATGCCTTGTGAGGCACCCCCACATACCACCGGCCATGGCCAGAGGCCACCGGCTGGTTTTTGTCTCCGTCGGCAATATATATTGCCGGTCGGCACTCATTTTTGTCAAAATGACAATTTTGAGTAGCCGACTACTGTTCATCTACTTTATGTAGATATTTTGTGCCAGCTGTGATAGCTGGCACCAACTCTGCTTCCCTCCATACACGTGTATGGAGGGATCTCCCTCTAAGCAAGCTTGTTAAATAAGCTTTGCAAGAGGGACTTCTATAAGAGGGGGGGCCTTCTCCTTGTTCTAGGTTAGAAATTTTAAAGGCAAAACCAGGGCTTATACATATAGATACACCCTCTCTCTATATTTCCCTCTCTCTCCTCCCTTGTGTGTGTTTCTTGGCCTAAAAGTGTGCTTTTACCTTACTTTTGCACTAATACACACACCATTACACCTTGCTCCGAGATTGAGGACTTTTGAGGGTTGATTCTTGAGTTTTGGGGCTGTTTTTGATCAAAAGAAGAGGGCTGCATTGGCTATTCTTGAGGTGTGCTTCAAGGGTGAGCACTTTGCTTTAGTTTCCCCAAACTTGCATTAGTCTTTTGCCTATCTTGCTTGCTGATTTAGTTTTTGTGCATAACATAAAAAAGGCTTATATTTTCATGCTTAAGAACTTTGATTAAGGGTCTTTTGTGCTTTGAGATCAAACTCACCCTCTTAGGCCTTATTTGGCCTTTTTGTTGCCTCCTTGGTAAGGCCTTGTTTGCTTAAGTGTTTTGGTCTTCTCACCACTGAAAACCAGTGGATTTTCAGTAGTGAGGAAGGTGGTTTGAAGTCTTGCATAGGGGAGGGACACCCCTCTCCCTTCATTGTCTTATTTCCTTGCATTTTGGCTTAAAGGGTAACATGCATGCTTGATTGGTTTTGCCCCTTTTTCAGAGGTTTTTGGTTGTTTTTAGGTCACATGTAATCTCTGTTTTTGGTCGGATTTGTGTCCTTTTGCATGCTTAACATACTTGCTTTACATTCCTCCATTTGGCCTAGAAATGCATCTTATGTTTAGGTCATGGTTCTTGCATGTATTAGCCTAATTTCTTAGAGGTGTTGGCATTATTTCACCATGTCTAAGACCTGTTGGCCTTTTGTTTTAGCCATGCTTGCCATGTTTGGTGTCCTCTCTTTGTGTTTTGGCTTGTAAGCCTTGAGCATATTGACCTCCAACATGCATACCTTAGACCATCCTCATGATTTGCCATCATTTAGGGTCACATTTCAGTCCATAAATCATGCTTGTATGTTTGTATATGTGACCTCTTTCATGCTTTGAGGGTGTGCCCTTTCATGCCTAGAATTGAGCTTTGGTGCATGCATCTCATCGGAGCCACTTTAGCTGCCATGTTAGTAGGTTTTGGGGTCCATTTTTGCATGCTAAGGTTCTGTTTTTACTTGTCTAATTCATGCCATGATTGGTCATATTGGTAGAAGTAAAACGCCCCTTTTTTTGTGCCTTAGCCTTAGGTCCATTGGCTTGCATGTTGGCATGAGAGTTTGTCCATCATTTTGGGCACTTTTTGGTGCTATTTTGAGGTGAATTAAGGTCTGCCCCTTTACCATTTTAAGCCACCATTGCATGCTTGTTTCATGTTTGTTGCATGATTTCTTCATTAGGTATTGTAACATGATGATCCTATTGCTTAAATTGCCCATGTTTGCATTGCATTTGCATCTCGCATGCCTAGCATTGCATATTTGCCATAATAGTTGCATGGCATTTGGCATGCCTTGCATAATTAGTACCGTGTTGCATTTTGAGCCATGTGAGCATAACATGCATTGCATTACTTGGTTTGGGGTGTCAAACCAAGTGTGAGGGTTAAGGGGCGTTCATACTATAAGTGATGCAACGTGCCTTAACTCTCGGTCACCGGGACCTTTGACTTCGACATGATAAGGCCTTGGTCCTCATTTGTGTGTTGCATGCATCTTTACATCAAATGGCAAGCTTGATCTCTTGGGCTATCATGCACAATTGATGGCTCGAGGATCGAGGGTCATGCTTCCCTGAGTTCAACACATGATGGGAAACATGACCAAGCTCACATGTGCCTGAAATTCCATGCCATATGCTGTCTGTCCTCTGTTGCTGTCAAAACTGTCCCCTGCAGGAAGTTTCTGCCGACCGGCATAATTCAGTGCCGACCGGCCATTGGTGAATGGCCGATGACTCAATCAGCAGCTCAGATACAAAAGAATGAGGCATGCATTTTTACATCAAATGGCAAGCTTGATCTCTTGGGCTATCATGCACTATTGATGGCTCGAGGATCGAGGGCCATGATTCCCTAAGTTCAACACATGATGGGAAACATGACCAAGCTCACATGTGCCTGAAATCCCATGCCATATGCTGTCTGTCCTCTGCTGCTGTCAAAACTGTCCCCTGCAGGATGTTTCTGCCGACCGGCATAATTCAGTGCCGACCGGCCATTGGTGAATGGCCGATGACCCCAACAGCTGCCGATGGGAATTATGCATTGCCGGTGGGCACTCCCCCCAGCCGGCGGTACTCTGCAGTATGCAACAAGCCTGTCCCAGAATTTTGGCATTTTTTTAGAGAAGCAAGGCAGCAAAAACAGAGGCAGCAATGGTATGGTGCGGGCTTTCCGGACGAGACGGGTTCGAGCATTCATCACTCGCGCATCCCGAGGCAGGGGCCTGTGGCCACCTTTCTTTCTTTTTTGCATTCATTCTATTAAGTAAATTAGAAATTCTGTAATAATTTATTTGTTTATCATTCGGACTGTAATATTCATTTGGCCCCTCTGAGTGAGGGCAATTATGTAATAAGTGTGCGTGAGTGTGTGTATGTCTTCCAACCTCACGTCTTTCTTCCCTTTTATTTACCTGCTTATGATGGTAGACTAGGGCATTTTTAAAATTAGCATACCTTATGCTATGCATGCGTGCATTCATGCATTCGTATTGCATGCATCAGGCTCGGTACATCACGCTAACTACATTTGTACTTCAATTCCAAATTGAATACGTGCATCAATTGATCGCATTTCACATGCCATGCTTAGGTTAGTCGAGCCTACTTTGATTGCATCCTGTATGTGTTGCATTAGGCAATTCGACATGAACTAGGACCATGCATTTTGGCTAACTAGTTTATTGTTTTGGCACGGAGTACCATGTAAGTATTCATGCTTTAGCATCCCGCATGCGTGTGAGTGTTGCCATGACAAGTATGCTTGCCATGCGGCTAAATGCTTATGTGATAAATTGTTTGAGTGCCTGTGGGTGAAGGTTGGATTGTTTGAGTTGGGAAAACTCGTTGAAATCCGTATTTAGCCTACTTGCGAGTAGCAAATTCCAAAACATTTTTCCAAAACAAACGGATATGCAATGCTTATTTCCAAACTAGGCAATCTAGTCTATACTTGTTCGCTGTGCGCATAACATAGTAATTCTAGGCTAATAAATGGAATAAGAACACATAAGGTTTTCAAAACTAGATATCACGGTTAGTAGAGGCCGATCTTCGGATCGGGCGAGAGGGGGTGCTCATAGCTGACCTTCCCCAATCGTACCCTAGCTCCCGAGCCGAAACAACTCCGGTGATGACGGACATGTGGCCTTCGGCACCGAGTCAGGGTTTCCTAAATTCCCCCGTAAAAAAATATTTAGGTGGCGACTCTGTATCTGGCAAAGCAGTCCATGTTTGGCACTTCTTTTCAAAAAATCTGTTTTCTCAAAACGATTTGCCGGATTTGGACTCTTTGGTTCAAGATTAAGAACCGTGACGATTTGAGAGTCCGAGCTGTAGTAACCCCAAATGAACGGAACGGGACTCACCCTCCCGGGGCGTTCGGGGATGTCTACAGATATATTTCATGATATATTTTTCATGATCCCTAACATTACTCGATTCGTCAAAGTTTGGTGTGCCGGGGTGAGCAATTTATATATGTGTGGCTCTGAACATTCTTTGAAACAAGTTTTGTTTCTTGTAAAACATGGGAAGGAAAAGAATGATCCCTGCAGTTGTAGTTGTTCTCTCTTCTAACTCAGGAATAACTCCTTTTATTCCTTTGGTTTTTACTCTCCTGCTTGTTATCCCACACTCTTTGATCATGGCACAACAACAAGACCTCTCCCTATGGCGGTTTTACTTTCGCATAAATAACGGAAATTCAACTACGGGTAGCCAATTTGAAGACAATCTCAAAATCCTCCTCATCCGGTCTCTTTACAATAATGGCTGTGACTCCTTCTCCAATGTTACCGAAGGGGATGATCCTGACAAAGTTTATGGCCTATTCCTCTGCAGAGGTGGTGTTCAACCCAGTATCTGCAACAAACAATTGCATCAACACGGCTGGCGTTGAGATTTTAAAAAAATGCTTACCCTACAAAAAGGCAATTATATGGTATGATGAGTGTTTTATTCGCTACTCGAACAGTTCTTTTTCTACCATGGGGATATCCCCACAATTTTATATGTGGAACGCAACAAACGCAACCCAGCCAGATAACTTCAATGAGATTTTGGGAAAGACATTCTCTAATCTGAGTATTGTGGCAACTTCTAATCCTTTGAATGCAACCAGTCAAACTAATGTGACCAGTTCTATTAACTTGTATAGCATGGTGCAGTGTACGCCTGATTTATCACCAACGGATTGCCTTACTTGCCTAAATTCTATTGTCTCTAAATTTCTTATATACGTGGCCGGAAAGAAAGGAGGGAGATCTGCGTCACCAAGCTGTAACATAAGGTATGAATTGTACCCCTTCTTGCTGGACCCTCCTGCACCCAACAAGCCCAATAGTGGCGGCAGCGGCAGCGGCAGCGGCGGCGGCAAGCATGGTGAGTTTTGAATAAAGATAGTAACCTATTTATTTTTAGAGAAAATTTCATTTTATTTTCAAAACTATCACTCAAAAATCATTTCATTCCATGTTTTTTCAATTATATCAATTTTACATCTAAATTATTCAGTTTGGATCAATTTCACCACTCCATTAGTTGCCGTCATCATTTATAATAAGATGGAATTTGTTGAGGTGATACCAAAATTCATTTGAAACTCCATCTTAATACCCAAACTATCTATCAAAAATTAATTAGACCATTGAATATAAACAATTAAATTTAAATATTTAATTAATAATTTTTTATCTCAAAAATGAGGAAAATAAAATTTCAATAATATTTTTTACAAAAAAAAAAATTGAAAAAATATATTAAAAAAAAGCCTCATTTCAAATTGGAAAATGTTTGGTAGCTCAAAATTTTGTGGCTCAAATGGCTCAAATATGTCAAAACGACGTCGTTTTACACTCAAAATCTGTCAAAACGACGTCGTTTTAAGTGATTTGAGCCATTTGAGCCACAAAATTTTGAGCTACCTAGCATTGTTGTTTAAAATTGTCTTTTTAAGTTTGGATAAATTACAAATACACCCCTGAGGTTTACTTAAAATATGAATTGCCCCTATGATTTGAAAAATTACAAATACATTCCTATCAGAATTTTTTATTTAACAAAATTAATTGAAAAAGTGAAATTTCTAACTGTTTATTTATACAATATTAAAATTATCTGAATTATTAATTGAAATAAAATTTTAACATTATTAAAAACTGTTAATTAACTTAATGATTTATAAATACAAGGACCTATTTGCTATGAAATTAGAAATCTTAGGATATAATGTAATTTTTAAAATCATAAGAAATAATTTATAATTTAAATAAATTTCAAGGGTGTTTGTCATTTACCTTTAAGTTTCAAATTTCCTTAAGCGAGTCTTGATGAAAATAATTGAGTCAAATTCCTAAGTTGCTCTCTCTCTCTCCCAGCAATTGTCGTTATTTTATTCACCAAATTTATCTAATCAGATTGATCGACTAGTAATAGTTTCAAAATTGTTTGAGTAAAAATTTAAACTATACTTTTTTCTTCTTCCAACATTTGGGAAACTATATTGAATGATAAAAATGAATATGTTGAGATCTCTATCTACAAAATCGATATTATTACGTAGTCGTATCATTGATTGAATGGCACTATGGAGGCAAAAGTTAGCAACAACTCTCTTGGAAAATTCTCAGTCAATTTTTTTTATTTAAATATTTTTTCTCACTTTTGTAGATTAAAATTATTATTAAATATTTAATTTTTTTTTTCATGGTCTAATTGATTTACGGGGGATAGTTTAAAGGGTAAAATGAAATTTGGTGTCACATTATTCTGTCTAATTATAAACAAAAATTGATAGTGAAATAAATTGATTCAAAATTTAAATATAAAATTAATATAATTTAAAATATATGGATTGAATTGATTTTTGACTAATAATATGTGCAGATTCTCTTCTTTTTACTCTCAACCATACATCTATATAATGATATAAGAAGTACATGTGTCGACCTAGGGATGAAAAAATGGTTCGACCCAGTCTGCTTGGGCCCAAGTTCAGGCAGGCTAGCCCTCAGGTCTATCAAGGTCCCATCAAAAATTGGACTGGGATGGCCCACTTTCCAAAAATCTAGGCGCAATCCCAGGCTAGGGAATAATTGAGCCTCAGGCGGGTCAGCAGGTTGGGCATGACATTTTGTTAAATTATTTTCACCAAAACAGCTTGAAAATGACATTGGGCGTTAGATGGAACGGGCCTTTAAGCTGGCATTGATTGGGCCAACGGGCCACGTTTCCAGGCAGGCCAAAAAAACCATGGCTGAGGCCTTAACTTCAAGGGATCTAATTGGGCTGGCCTGGTGTCAAGGTGCACCCATCCAAGGGTCAACACCTTGATGCCACACACATTTGTGCCCTTTGGAGAGCCGAAGAGATGCCTAAGAAGTTGTTGGTGTAAGTGCAAACAAAGGCCCAAGGCATAGTGCAAGGTAGTCCAAGACATGCCATGAAGCAGCATAGCCACCAAGTAGCAACTTATGGATCAACTATAGAAGTTGGAGCTCTTAGGGAGGTAGTTTAGGATATTCAATAATCTGGTTCTATTTGATGCTACTATGGTGTTAAAAGACCGTCTTAATTAATCCTCCATGCACACATTGGAAATTTCTTAGTTTGGTTATTGCTAATGGTTTGCTTCGAATCCATATCTCTTAACTTAAACCCATCAATAGATAAGCCAAATTAGTTGCTTTGAATCCTAATTCTTTACTTAAACCTATTGATAGATAAGCTTATTTAGTTGCTCTGATTTGGGTTGTGAGAGGCGGTCATCATCACAACATTTTTGAATGATTTTTATGGGCAATCATTTTTGTTTTATTTGTATTTCTTTTAAATAATGTATTGTTAATGTTTGACAAAAGAAGACACCTAAACTATATAGTTAAATAATGTATTGTTAATGAAAAAAATGTCAATTTATTTCTATACTATACAGTTAAATAATGTATTGTTCCTCTTGCTATTAGGCTCGATTTTCAAGTTATCCCTATATAGTTAGGTTCCATTATAATCTCCCAGTCTCTTAGAAGTTGGATTTGTTGATTGAGATTTTATTTTATTTATTTATTTTAATTTTTTGTCAGCCATTTCAGTTTCAACCTTTTGAACCAATTGCCCTTTATCATCTGAGGATGAATCTTATATGTCATGCATGTGTGTATTTTAATGTATGAAATGTGTGGTCTGATGTACTAATTCTGTGATTACATGTCAAAATAATATATAAATTTGGTATAAAAATTGGTAATCACACAACAATACTTTGCAAAAAGTAGGCATCTTGCATTTGGGGATAAAAACAATTTTGTTGAATGATAGAATTTATGTGTGCGCGTTATATTTTCTGTAGTCAATTTCTTTGTCTCTACCATTTCTACATCCAAAAACTACTCTTTTTTTTGTTTCTCTAAAAAATAAAAAATTAGGTGATGAGCTTATTTGAGATTCTACTACTCTCTCTCTTACCCAATTCGAAAACAACCTCTCCAGAACAAAATGATTATGCAGTTTTCTCTGTTTGGTATATTTCTATTTGGTATTTTTCCACTTTTTTTTTTCCCTTTCTCCTATTCAATTTTTTTTGTTTGGCCCAGGTGTTGAGTTAATAATTATGTGTCGTCATCTGAGAGGATATGTTAATTAGGTATTGTTTGAGTAATAAAGTTCGTTTTGGAATTATAATTTTAAATTAAAAATTTAAAAATCACTATAAAATACTGTATAGATTTTTTTTTTGTTTGTTTTTTGTTGTAAACAATTAGAAAATTAACCTCTAGATTTTTTTTTCCCATTACCAACAGTTTAAATTGTTGATTAAACAGTTTTTTTTTTCTTTTTTGGTCATAAAATTATGTTTGGACTTTCTAAATGATAATCATAAATTTAATTTGAAGACTATAAAATTGAAGTCAGTTGGGGAACAGAAGAGTTCAAATTTGGACAATTGTTATGCTCCCATTTTAATACCCTTTATGTTGCCAAAGCTGATTTTAATTTTATCATTTGTGTCATTGTTAAAATATATCGTTCAATAGTAATAATTATATAACCAAATATTTTCAGGTTGAAGTACGACAGTTATGGATAATATCACTATTTTCGGTCAAGATTTTTTTTTTCTCCCCCTTCATATAAATTTAAGTACCTCTCTTATAATGTAAAGCCCATTTATTTAAAATAAATCCTATTTATTTATTTATTTTAAACTTATCATATTTAATTTTCTTCTAATAAATGTTGTAAACTACTCATACTTTATAGGTGGATGAAGATTTACACTGAACGGTAATATCAAGTAATATCAAGAAAGAAATGATTTTTTTTTATTTATCTGTACAAAGTTTTATTTATCACTCTAAAGTTTTTGTATATATAAATTCAATTTCTTCAACAAAGAAATGTGAATGTTGTTCACGATGAGCGTGAGCTTAATACTATTTGCATTCATGAAGTAAGCCTAAAAGTAACTAATATGCGAATGCATTTTCTTATCATTTTATAAATTATTTATAAATAGATTCTACTTATTTTTTTATCAGCAAAGGCAAAGGAAAAACACAGCAATATCAAAGAAGACAGAAAAGGCTATGCCTTCTGACAAAGGAAAGGAACATGCAAATCTCGTGGTATGGTTTCTTAAAATTTTTAAAAAGTTAGTTTTCCAAATATTTATCAAATTTTTGTTTTCATATAGATTTTTTTTTTAAGAATTGCATAGTGTTATATACTATTTTTAATGTACATTTTTATGAGTTATTGTTTTTAAAATATTTATTCAATTGTTTTGACTGATTGTGAAATATTTTTCTAAACCATGTTAAAGTAAGCATTTATACATGTTAACGCATTTGTCTGAACATTAATTTGAAATAGATTTTTAAAATTAATTAAATGTAGTTTTTAATTATATAAAATAGGTTTTTAAAATTTTTATTTGACTTATAAGTTCTTAAGGAAAGAAGAAAAAGACAACAATCAATTTGCAGTTTGCAGTTTGTAGCTTTGTGTACGTAATTTATTTTCAAATTATTTTTTTCCTCCCTTTTTAAATTTCATCAATACATGCATTGGTTTTTATGTGACTAACAACTCAACCGAGCTAATAAGAAAAGTTTGTTAAACTTTTAAGAACAAATACATGATAAAAGGAAAGCAAGAGAGGGGATAATCTTCACATTTTATGTACCTAATTATATAATATTCTCATTTTAGGCGTACAATGATAATGTGTTATCAAAAGCTGCATTGGCTCAACGTGCATGGCGAGAATGTGAAAAAAATCTAAACCCATGTTCTGCATACCAATTAGGACAACGCCTGCGACGAGAACGAGAGAAATCAAAGAAATGTATTAACCCAAGACAACCTTCTTTAACCCCCAATTGGTAAACAACTCTGTTAAATTCTTGAAATATATACTCTACTATTACCATTTTATTATACATATTTTAAATTGTTCACAATCCATTTTTGTAGGTCTATTCCTACAACCCAATCTAGAAATGTTGGTGTGGTCATTCATGATGAGCATGACCTTAATGTTATTCGTGTTCGTGCGGTAAGTACAAAATCAAGTCAAACATTGTATGTATTTTATTTATATAAGTTTTTTTTTTTTAATTTTTTGAATATTTTTTTTTTATATTTGTTAAGCAAAAGAAAAAGAAAAGGTCAATCCAATGTCTAAGGAAAAAGAAAAGGTGGCTCATTTTGACAAGAGAATGACAAATGCATGTCAAATGGTATATATTCCTTTTAAAAAATATGAAACAAAACTATGTGAATTTGTTACTTTATGTTGTTTTTGTAGAATGATTGTAATATATTCTCCTATAACTTGCTATTATTTATATATGTTTTTCAAATTTATTTATTTTTATTTTTGCATGGATACATGTGCATTTATAATGTACCATATGAAGCAAATAGGAAAAAAAAAAAAACAAATGAATAAAGACAAACTATCTAATGAAAAGATAAACTAAATAAGACAGATTTTTATTTCTTCTTTATTTTTTTAATAGAAAACAAAAAGCATGAAGAAAGAAATAAATACAGATAACACTATTAAAGGTATAAAATAAATAAAATATAAAATAAAATTAAGAGAAACGAAAGAAACATGAAGATATTTCATTTTAAGCACAACATATTCACATATTTTGCACCAATGACAAAATATTTTCATTTTAGGCACAAAATGATAATGTAATATCAAAAGCTGCATTGGCCCAATGTGCACGGCGAGAGTGTGAAAAAAATGAAAAGTCGCACTTTGAATTTCAATGCTTGCAACGAAAACAAGAAGGATCAGAAGAATATATTTAACCAATACAACCTTCTTTAACACCAATTCGTCGTAATCGTGCTTGCCTGGAATGAGAAACAATAACTAAAGATTCTCATTCGGCACAAAAACGAAAAATGGTTGCCCATCATTCTACATGTTCATTTTCTATGCCAAGCACATCTTTAGCTCCACAAAGGAATCGGTAAACTATTATGTCTAATCTTGAAATACATACTCTTATTCATACCATTTTGTTTTATAGAATTTTATTTATACACAAATATTCGTAGGTCTACTCCTATAAGTCAATTTCTTCAAGAAGATCTATGTACTGATAATGAATTAGAAGATATGCCTATGAGTACATCAATTGACGCCCGAGCACACAAAGATCTTGTCGCCATTATCTTGGCAAGATGGATATATTATGTCCTTATTGTTCAGCCTTACATTGGATGGATGAAAAATTGACCAAATCATCTATAAAGCGTCATTTATTCGGAACTTGCTGTTTGGAAGGAAAGATTAGGCTACCTTTACTTATTATACCCCCTCCATCACTTCAGGCGTTGTACGATGGGAATAATGATCAATCAAAATCCTTTCGAAGTTATACTAGATTGTACAATGCAACCAATGCTTTTATGAGTCTTGGTGCTACATTGGATCCTAGAGTACTCAGTGGAAGGGGCCCTACATCATTCATTATTCATGGGAATTACGACATTGAACAGGATCACTACAACCACAACCAAGGCAGGATGCGAGTTATGCTCAACTGTATATCTATGACCTTGATTCAGCGTTAGAAATTCGTAATCGTAGAAATCCTAACTTGAGAAGGGCTGTTCTCAAAACTATTCAGGATAATTTGTTGCAAGTGAATGCATTTGTAGCTACATTTCGCCAAGCTTATGCCATTTTACATCAATTAGACTCGGCATGGCACAATCTACCTGCTTATCTTCATTACAATTCAACAACTGATTGACGTCGATAAAACCTACCAACTACAGATGAGATTGCAATTGTAATATCAGGTGATGGAACAGAGGTAAGTGGAATGAGAGATATTATCTTACATTTCTAAGGAAATAATGAGTTGAGGCAAATTAATGAATGTCACCAAGCATACTTGCCATTATATTATGTTCTATTATTTCCATATGGTGAGCTTGCATGGGAACCTAAGTTGAAATTGTGGAACGTTCAGTATGATCGACCTTCAACTGATCGACTTACTCAAATGGATTTTTATAGTTATCGTTTGTTTGAACGACCCACAGAGTATTCAACAATTTTGAGAGGTGGGAAACTATTTCAAGAGTTTTTGGTAGATGCTTGGGCCACAACTGAGCAAAATTGATTGACATACTACAAGCTTAATCAAGGGAAACTTCGGGTTGAGCTTTACCAAGAGTTGTCAGATATTGATCCGGATTATGTGCGACATGGTCAAATTGGTCAAAGGTTTGTTTGGCCATCTTCATTTACTGGTAGTCCTAGCCATATGTTTGAAATCTTTCAAGATTCAATGGCTATTACCCGATATAACCAACACCCAAATATTTTTCTTACCATGACTACAAATCCTAATTGGCCAGAAATTACTTCAGCATTATTACCACATCAAAAACCTATTGATCGTCCTGATTTAATTGCCCGTGTTTTTGAGTTGAAGAGAAAATGTTTGATGAAGGAGATAGAAGCAAATAAAGTGTTTGAAAATAAAGTTGCACATGTTTTTACAATTGAATTTAAAAAACGAGGCCTCCCCCATATGCATGCACTTTTATTTCTTAAGGGTCCAGACAAAATTCAGACATGTGTTCAAGTAGACAAATTGATCTGTGCAGAATTTTCAGACCCAAATGATGATCCTATGCTTTTTGAAACTGTCAAATGTTGTATGGTACATGGACCATGTGGTGCTCGAAATCCGTATGCATCATGTATGGAAAATGGTAGATGCAGTAAAAGATATCCTTGAGCTTTCACAAAAACAACTATGGATCAAAGATGAATACCCTATCTATCGTCATCGCAATAATGGTCAAGTACATACTGTGAAGGGGCAAGAAGTTGATAACAGGGATGTCGTACCATACAATGCATATCTTTCTAAACTTTTCAACTGTCATATAAACTAGGAAGTTTGTGCCGGAATGAGATGTGTCAAGTATATACATAAGTACATTTACAAGGGTTATGATCATACAACGATGGTGTTGGGATCGATAAATGAGATTCAACAATATCTCGATGCAAGGTATATTGGACCTCCAGAAGCTGCTTGGCGAATATTTGGTCATTCTTTGCATGCAGAGATACCAACAGTTGTACGATTGGCACTTCATTTACCTGGAATGCATCGCATTGTTTTTAACCCAGAAAAGTCATTAGAAACGATTCAATCTAGAGCTGGTCAACAAATGTCAACTCTTACTGGATTCGGCATGAAATTTTTTATTTTTGAAGATGAATGTCCATTCACTTATCAAGAACAGCATACTCTTAAAACATGGTTGATCAGTTTGACCTAAATACAGAAGTTGTTCTTTCATTCTTTTTCATTGTTACGTTTGTTACTAACCGTTGTCAAAGGACCAAAGTTGTTTCAGTCTTTACGCACGGTCGATAATGTTGTGCATGATACATTTAAATTAGCATGCGTTGCAAGGGAGTTTTAGAAGATGATGAAGAATGGATACAATGCTTGAAAGAGGTAGCAGTTATGAAAACTGGATACCAATTGAGGAGATTGTTTAATATTATTCTCACCCAGTGCTCTCCACTAAATCCATGTGCATTATGGAATCAATTCTCAACAGATATATGTGATGATCTTGCACATAAGATTCGTACATTGTTTGTCATTTCTAACCCAATTAAGGCTCAAATTGAAGATTATTGTCTCCATCTTTTGAATCGAATGCTTCATGAATCAGGCAAATGTTTAATTAACTTCCTACCCATGCCTCAATCTACTGCAAATTGGAGTACAGTAGTTGGTAATCGATTGATATTCAAACATCAACAGCTGCAGAATGAGGCACAACAGGCAGATCCACAAATTACTATTGATTGTCTCAACAATGTACAGCGGAATGCCTATAACACAATCACTTCTTCAATTTTTCAAAATAAAGGAACTATTTTCTTTCTGAATGGGGGTGCTGGAACAGGAAAAACATTTCTGTACAATACAATTGCATTAAAATGTCGCAGCCTTAGGCATATCGTTGTTACTGTGGCTTCATCTGGAATAGCATCATTGTTATTGGTAGGAGGTCGCACTGCACATTCAACATTTTCCATTCCGTTAGATGTCTTGGAAAATTCACTTTGTGGGTTTACCAAATAATCATTACAAGCTGAGTTGTTTAGAGAAACAAAACTTATAATTTGGGATGAAGTTCCTATGTAACATAGACATCGTGTTGAGGCGGTTGATCGTACATTGAGAGATATTCGTGATAGTGAAAAGCCATTTGGGGGTATTACTGTTGTTCTTGGTGGAGACTTTCGACAAATCTTACCAGTTATACCCAAAGGAGTTCGTGAGCAAATTGTAAATGTATCATTAAGACACTCTGTTATATGGAAACATATACATATCTTAACTTTGGATTTGAATATGCGCTTGAATCATAGAGACCATGAAAATGCTATTTTTGCATATTTCTTAATAGAGGTAACAATACTTTAACCTTTTTCTTTATTATATAGATTATTTTAAATTAATAAATTGTGTTTACACTCATATTTTTTTTTAATTGATTTCACTTTTTTTAGATTGGGACTAATCCTCAAGAAATCATCAATCTTCCATCAATAATATACAAATGTCAAGATTTGAATAAATTACTCTCTACAGTTTACCCACAGTTGAATATAATAGAGACGTTGACCCCAACATTTTTAACTGAACGCACCATTCTATCTGCGCGTAATGATGATGTCAGTGACATTAACACTACTGCGTTGAATATCTTTCCAGGGAGATTATATACTTATTTTGTAGTAGATAAAATGTCTGAAGATAATGAAATTGATCCTACCATTACAAATAGATATCCTAATGAATATTTAAATTCGTTGGATCCTCTTGGGCTACCAACTTTTAAGTTAGAGTTGAAAGTGGGTTGTCCTATAATATTATTAAGAAATATTGCACTGAAAGATGAACTGTGTAATGGTACAAGATTGATAGTTACTAGGTGCGACACTCGCATAATTGAAGCTCAAATTTTAACTGAAGAAAAGTTTGGCAATTTGGCATTCATACCAAGGATATCTTTGACGCCATCTTCTTCAGAAATGCCTTTCCAAATGACAAGACGTCAATTTCAATAAATTTAAATAGTGTTGGGATTAAATTTTATATTAAATTTGTAATTTTATCAAATTAAAAAATAAATTTAAATAGTGTTGGGATTACTTGAAGAACCGAATCGATCAGCAGAATACGATGGGGGAGGTTTCGACCACTCGGTTGTGGTTGAGATTGATGAATTTTATTCTTATTTCGGATAGATATTGAAT